AACACAAAGAAACACAAACTACTACAGATACTACACCTACTACAGTTACTACGGGTACTACGGATACTACAGGTACTAAGGTACTACAGATACTACAGGTACTACAGGTACTACAGGTACTACGGATACTACAGATACTACACCTACTACAGGTACTACGGATACTACAGGCACTACGGATACTACACCTACTACAGGTACTACAGGTACTACAGATACTACACCTACTACGGGTACTATGGGTACTACAGGTACTACGGATACTACACCTACTACGGGTACTACAGGTACTACGGATACTACACCTACTACAGGTACTACAGGTACTACGGATACTACACCTACTACAGATACTACACCTACTACAGGTACTACGGATACTACAGGCACTACGGATACTACAGATACTACAGGTACTACACCTACTACAGGTACTACAGGTACTACACCTACTACACCTACTACAGGTACTACGGATACTACACCTACTACAGGTACTACAGGTACTACAGGTACTACAGTACTACAGGTACTACGGATACTACATCTACTACACCTACTACAGGTACTACAGGTACTACGGATACTACAGGTACTACAGGCACTTTGGGTACTACAGGTACCACGGGTACTACGGGTATTACACCAACTACATGTGCTGCACCTACACGGATCACTAACGCTGACACCGAACGATGCAACACTACCACAACACACAACCCAAAGATAGTGCCAATTCGTGTGGTCATACATGAAGTAACGACCCTGAGAGCTGATGCGTGGATATGTAAAGGAAGCACGCCTCGCCTACATAATTGTGTGGGCTTCCTGTTACACGTGTGTGCACAATGTACAAATCCACCCCTAAATAGACCAAGAAAACTCTCTATACGGTACTAATCACCACCACAAGGTCGATAGGATATTCTGGACTATATTTAGCGAGAATCGAGCGAGATCGATTGAATAACGCCGCATCACCTGGTGCCTAAAGCGAAGTGAAAAACTTTGACATGAAGATGAACTGCGTTGTTGGTTTTCTGTCGTTGACAATCCTGTTGGATATCGTATTGCTCGGGGCCTGCGACACATATAAGCCCCTTCAATGGAGCCCTCTAAATCCATTGTAAGTATATATATCTTCTCTCGTTTGACTGTCGCCGATGTCAGAGGTCTAAAAGCGTTATACAGTGTTGTTGTTGTCGTGCATTTGTTTACTAGTATTTTAAATACGCTTAACGCTCTTCTGTTCAAATTTAATCTTTGTTTTAGTTCTCATCCCTGTTGCTAAGAGTCGTTTAGACCTATAAACGAGCAGTAATGTTCTCAATCTCTAGTTCATTTCCAACGTTACTATGAAAATTGCAGTGGCTTCTACAGCTATTAAATTTTCAAATTAAAATTTTAAAAGTGCTAAAAAAAATTTATCCCTGCGAGTTAAAATAAATTTGAAATACAAATTACGTGTTATACAAAATGCTACTACGATTAATTGTATTATTATTACACTCCAAAGATTCCAATTAAATGTGAATACATTTAACTACAAGGCTTCCAATTCATCACTATTATTTCAAGCTAGCTACAGATTTACTGTAAAGCAATTTTTCTTCTTTCCGGTTTAATATGATCAGTTCCATGAAACTGAAGTAAACTTTTTCACTTTGGATTCCTATTTTTAAATTCAAAAGTAATATTCTTTTTCAAACGTATGCCAATCATGGAGCTGAGAATAAGAAGCAGTTTGTGCAATAATAACGTCATGAATTTATCTATTTTATAAAAAGTCATGAATTATTCAAACGTTTCTCAGAATTTTCACATGTTTATTGTCAGTGTTCTTAGTCTTAAATTTGCTTGAAACTAATTTTTCTATGTATTTGGGAGTTGTGCTTTTGAAATCCCACGAAAATATCTCAATGTAAAATACACAGTATTGAGGCGTGCTTGCTGATTATGAGAGTAGGCACATTTATCAAACAATAAGTTACTTTCTTTCTTTCATTCTCCCACCTTATTGGTCCAGGGGAAATGATTGACATATTTGTGGGATTAACATGGAAATGAAGGGAAGTCTCACCCTGTAACAGTATATTCGTTTAGAGTAGGTCATCTGATAGAGTGCATTCAGTCAAACTGTTGAATAGTTGACGTCACCCAAATTAGATAAGTTAGTTACTATTTTAGCTGACCTCCCATAAATTTGAAACTAAGAGTAAACAGCTACTCAGATCAGGGGGAGAAACAATGATACAAATGAATGTATATTTACTTATTCTCTGGTAAAACAATCCCCCGGATTAGCATGACCGTTATTTGGTGCACTTTTACTATTTTAGGTGACGTCAACTAAATAGTTATCTAAGTTCTATACATTTATCTAACTATTCAACAGTTTGACTGAATGCACTCTATGTATACAGTATTTCCCTCAACTATATAATTATTATACTAATTTTTTGACAGCTCTTTGATCATAAATTTATTAACATTTGCAAAGCTGCTTTACTGTGAGCTCATAATCTTCTATAAAGAGCAAAACCAAATGAATAACTAATTAATATTGGTGATATGAAGGAATAATGAAATGAATGGGTGATTGGAATTTTGAGGAAAGAAATGATGAATGCATGCGAGTGAACATGGGAATATAATTTAGTCAATATGAATAGAATGGATTAGAATGGATAAATGAGGATATAGAAATATAGATAAGTTTATAGTGCTTGGGAACGAAGTTATTCCAGGTGAAAGACCCTTGGAATTGAATTCGGAAAAATTAATTTCCGACCTCGCTGGGAATCGAACCCACGACCTTCGGAATTGTACTACTGATGCTCTACCAGCTGAGCTAGAGGTCAGACTGAGAGCAGGCATAATAATTACAGCGACCTAACATCTATTTCACCCYGGCCTGCTCTCAGTCTGACCTCTAGCGCAGCTGGTAGAGCATTGGTAGTACAATTCCAAAGGTCGTGGGTTCGATTCCCGGCGAGGTCGGAAATTAATTTTTCCAAATTTAATTCCAAGGGTCTTTCGCCCGGAATAACCTCATTCCCAAGCACTATAACTTATCTATATTTCTATATCCTCATGTATTTCATAAGTGCTAYGCGGTCCACATATTCTCATGAATGGATAAATGGTGAGATCAACAAATTGGCATGAACAAATCAAATGAATGAATGAACAAACGAACGAAGGAATAAATGAATGAAACCTTTAAAAGGATGAATGACGGATAGATGGACAGACAGACAGGTTTTATTATCTTTCTAAAGTAATAAAGAGACCTTTTTTTCAGATTTCAAGCCACATCTGATGGGAACACCTCAGCATACAGAATAAATGTCAAAATGTATTCCAGGTTCAACATCATTTGTCCAAATCCTGCAAATAACCCTGTCACTATCAAAACTCAAATCTCAAAGGAAAATATGTTTGAAAATATTTGGAGTGTGGACAAGAACAGTTTCGACACCTGTATTGTCAATTCCACAAATAATAGAAACAGCAAGGTCTCTGAATGTAATGAACCTTTAAAACTGAATTACTATACGATGATCTTCCTTCCAACTACCAGTATCAGTGGACAACCAGAGTTTGAGTATGGAAAGGACCATTATTTTATAGGTAAAGACTGAAAACCAAATGCGCTAAGGGGCCAGGATCTGGCACACAGTTCTATTAAAAGCAGTAAATCACGTTTCCAAAAAAAAAAGTTACACCAGTGGTAAAATAACCTAGTTAACAGGCTGACCTCAATTCAAAGTCACGTAATCCTACATAAACCTCGTTCTCTTGAAGAGTAATGCAATAACAGACAGGGTTCGTGCTACTCCTTAAATTCCTTGAAAAGTTCTTGAATTGAACTCACGTTTTCAAGCGCACTTGAAACCTTCTAGAATTTTAAGATTTTAGCAAAAACATTCAAAACCTCTTGAATTTCTGCTTTGATCATTACTTGCATGGTTCTGAAAAAGATCTGGTCATCGAAAATTCTTTTGATATGTTTCCTTATTGATAGGCTAACAAAGTACATGCAAAATCCAGTATCAACCATTACTTCCCTTTTATAAGGGGTGCTGGAAACAACTTGGAAAGTTGGCCATGTGCCTTAGTCATCTGAACATGTTCCTTGAAAAAAAACTTTTTTGGGTCTTTGAATATTTCTTGAAGAGTCCTTGAATTTACGGTGGATACCTCAGCACAAATAGTGACATAATTTTACCCCAAAAAATAAAATTACCAACATTTTGAGTATCTTTCACAATCTTTTGGTGGGTCCTCACATGAACTGATGCAATTCATGAGTTCACAATCTTAAATCTTTACAATCATGGGATAAAAGCCAAAAATATTGATCAGGATTAAGAAGGGAGGGGTGGGGCCATATATTACTCACCACCTTTGGAATTAAATTCACAGATTTTATCCTGTAACATTTCCACACTTAAATTTTCCATGCATCATTGCTGTTATGTTGGGGGGAGGGGGAGTAAGAGGGGAAGAGGGGGGAACAGAGGGGGGACAGAGGGTGGAGGGGAATGGGTGTAAAGTTGAGTCAAAACAGGCGTGAGGCTACTAGGCAGTAAATTGCTGACTTCCTATTTGAATATTTAGTTTTGATTATGTTCGCTGTTTTCTTTTGACAGCTACTTCAAATGGAACCCAGGATTCATTGCGGAGCACTGCACTGGGTCACTGTCACACCAACAACATGAGATTCATTATTTATGTCTGCAGGGATAATAATGGTATGTTAAAATCTGCTTTTGTAAGTTTTAATTGAATACTCTTTTTTTATTCCTTCATGGCATTGTTAGCTGTTATGGTAATTATTTTGTTTGTTACATGGGTATGTATAAGAGGGGTGTAACCAGTGATCTTGCAGGGAGGGTGCACAGGGAATGGAAATGGAGCTATTGCAGAACCAAAAAAAAAATGAAATCGATATTGCAGAACCGAAAAAAAAAAAAAAAAAACAAAAATTGCAGAACCAAAAAAAAAAAGAAAAAATTTGCAGAACCTAAAAAAAGGAGCAGTAATGAGTGAGTGATATGCAATTTTAAAGCAAATGGAGATAGGTGAGCGGACCTTAAGGTTTTATGGGGGGTGCACCTGTACCCTGTGCTCCCCCCTGGTTAGGGCCTTGGTATAGAAAGCATAGTTTGCATGATATAATGCTTGGATGACTTGCCTCCCAGTCTTGTGACATTGGACCCATACTCAGTGTCATGTACGTATGTGAGTATAGAGTTCCTTGTGGACTCTATCCTGTGCTTGGAAGAGTTTTTTCCAGGTTCTTCAGTTTACATCCCTCTGCAAAAAGAAAACCTTTTAAATTCCAATTTGTTCATGGGATGATCAAATTTTGTTTTTATTTTCTTTTATTATTATAAGACCTTCTTTTGTCTATACTATGCTCCTTTATAATTTGCTACTGTACTCCTATTCTTATTTTTATGCTCCTCATTAATCGCATTAAAAAAATAATATATAATAATCACAGTTTTTATTGTATTATTCACAAGAATGTATTCATTTATTGCAGATCCATCGTGCAAAACAAATACAGGTCCTGACCCACAGGACAAAACCGTTGATAACCAAACAACTAATCTTCCCCCTACTGATAGGAATTTAATTAAACCTCCTGTTGCTGCTGGAAGAAAAGCCAATTGCTTTATCTCAGCTCATGGTATGTATTTTAGTTTTAGCACCAACCATCCATCCTAATACCTATCCATCCAATTACCCCTCCAGTTCTTTACTTCTCAACATCCTAGCTGAGTTAGTCCTCGAGCCTTTTTAATGGGATATTGACTCATAGACCATAAGGGAGAGAGGACTTATTTAACAAAATAATGCCACAAGATCTATTTTAGACCAACCTTATCACTTTTCTGCCACTCAAGCTCTAAATCAGTTAAAATGGGAACTTCTGGTTATCCGTTGCTGCCACCATCGCTGCATAGCTGTATATGAATGTCAATAACAATGTCATAGATTTTAATTTTACTAGAAATTTAAGTGTACATAACTGTGATACCTGCTGCCATCAGAACTTACACTTGCCACTGGCATGCTCTAACTGGCGTAAATATAATAGCAATCTACATATTTTATGTGGCCATTGGATGGAACAATTTAGAAATCACTGAAGACTGTCACCTACCCTTAATGATTTTAAAACTTTTTTTCTGATCATTTATTTCTTTTTTATCTATTTAAATATTTTTAACTTAATTTTAGAAATATTTTGCTTTTAGTATTTATCAGTATATATATATATATATATATATAAAATTATATATATATGCGTATGTATAATTATATTTTTTTATTATTATTTTCTTTCTTTATTGTATTTTGCTTTTTCAGGACCTCTCTGAAAATCCCCTTCGTGATGAGAGCTTCCTGATTAAACATTGTTACTACTCTTATTATTATCATTGTTATCATTATTATCATCATTATTATCATCATCATCATTATTATCATTGTTATCATTATTATCATGATCAT